GGACATTTGAAAAAAATTGCAGCGCGTTTTGATACAATTTTGTTACAAAGGAGACAAAGGCCGTTTTGGGATCAAAAATCGATAGTCCAATCGATAGTTTTATATGTCGTAGGCTAAAAGTTATCGTGTGTAATATCTGCTCATGCTTTCCGGTGGTGGAATGATAGAAGATCTTACAAGTAAAATACTCGTATGTACAATAAGATGTGAGGTGATGGAATATTGGTCATACTTACACAATTAGTTCAATTTTATTTTTGAAATCAGTTCCATATCGGAATCTATATTTTGAGTAATGATTCATACAATGTTATGACGATATTCGAAAATATGTAAACTATATAAATAGTTTTATACTACTATTACAGATGATACGAAACCATTTGCTTTTGTTACAGCATCACTAGTTTGATATGCGGAGGAAAAATATATTGAGATGCAAAGTGACAAAAGCATAAGCAGACTTCTTGGTCTCGCAAGTTTGGCCTCCTCTGCCGGGCGTCCCTGCCCGACTGCCCGGCTGCCGGGGCTGACCGTGCCGTCAACGGGTGAAAGAGGGAGGGGGGCAAGATGTTTCCCCAAATTCCACTTTACGACGCTTCTATTCATCCATTTGCATGATTGACACGCCGTTGGATTAGGAAACATGTCGCTACGCGCTATAAGCCCACAAAATTTAATTTTTTTCTCCAAATGTTTGCCAAATGTTTCTCCAAATGATGCCCCAATGATTTCCCATTTATGCAAGATTTTACTCTTCTTTAATATTCTTAAAGGAATAGTTCGGTCCATTGGAAAACCGAAAAATTGAGAAACTATCAAAAAAATATACTTCGGGTGGCGATAGTTGACTACTGGTATGAGGATGCCCAGTAAAGCCAGTTCACACCAAGGAAGTTAGAAACCTTTACTACGAGAAAGTTTGTGCCACTCTGTAGCACCACTAGTTTTTCTTATTGTCTCGTCACGTCACTGCGGTTCCCAGGCGGGCACCCACCCAGGAATCTTTGCTGTCTCGCGTTGCTTAACTTCCGTGACTACACGAAACAGTAAAGAAATTCGGCTAACAACGCCGGCCTTGCTGGAATACTTGCTAGTGTTGGACTTCGTCGGCATATTTTATCGAAAAATATTTCTCTATCAGTATTTGATCAATTCTTAACAATTATAATGTATTCAAATTGTGCACAATTTGAGTGTCCGTTTTTAAAAGTTTTATATTTCAAAATTTAATGCCCTAAACTACTTGCTATCAACGTTAGGAAAGTTTAACAGGAAGGGACTTTAGTGATCATTAACCACTTTACCACCAAACAATGTAACAAGACCAACCTATCACAAAGTGACTATAAACTGCAGATGGAAGACGGTGGCTGAAAGAAACAATGATAAAAATTGTGAAAATAGAAAAACAGCTGTAAACAAAATATCACGGGACTTGGCACTTGGAGCGGCATTCCGTCCTATAGGCCCTTTGGGCGGTCGGTGTTGGCCGCGTCCTATGGGCCACGTGGCATACCTGAAAGCTGACGTCAGCACGGGGCGTCGCGAATCCATGCCCCGCTCCCAGAATAACTCTTCTCATAGAAAGAAGAACAGCACCGGTGCGAAGTAAATGTTCCAAGTTTTATTTAGTCTTTTGCTGTCGTCCGCTGTTGGCGCAAAACAGTCGACTACTGTCAACGATTCAGGCGGTGGCCACGACCTATACCAGGGCCGAAGTTCGCCGCCAGCGTAGTACAGCCTGGAAACAAACTTATGAGTGTCATGTTGACAGCTTCTGAGAAAACACGCACGTCAAGGAAACACGGCTGTTAGAATGAAACAGATTTGCTTCGTGTTTTTGCCAGGACCCGCCGTCTGTTTTACAAGTCTTGTACAAAATAATTGTAGGACGAGCAAATATAAATGTACCAATCGCTTATCTAGACTGTAGACTGTAATTCTGCTGAGAACCCTAACCGTTTCATGGTTGGGGAAAACTTCGCAAGCCTGTCATAGATCGGTGCCGGATTTTGCCATTCAGTGGAGGTAGATCATCGCTACTTCCGGAGATAAAAGCATGCACTACGGGACTAAAAACCTTATTAGTTGTCGCGCCCAGAATCACTAACAATCAATCATCAAATGGAAATAACAGATAAGATGTCACTATGCAAGTGCATGACAGAGAAGATGTTCTGCAGAACCCTGTAGAACAGGGTTGTCCAACTGGAGGCCCGCGGTGCCATTTATTGTGGGCCGCGAAAAGTTATTAGTCAAATGTGAGTGTCCGTTGCATCTATGTCGGGCGAGAACACTGTGCGCCTAGCGTACACCCCCTGTCGGTGTCAACAGCCCCTTAATGTAAAAATAGATTTAAGGATTCAAGGATATTAAGATTTAAGGATTTTGGCTAGTAAGTTCATTAATTCAAAACCATTCCAATATGTTTCACCGCGTTTTGCATGGTACGGCCTCATTTCACGCATGTCCCCTCCCGTTTCAGAGCAGCCGGGCAAACTGCCGAGATCGACATTAAGCGGTTACGTGTGGATCGCCCGAGTAATGAAAATATGGCCCGCCACTATATTAAAGGTTTTAGTGTGGCCCTTGAAGCCTCGCAAGTTGGACTCCCCTGCTCTATAACTATCTCATCTTATCTTTTCGAGTAAAGTGCCAAATCCAGGAGCGGGGGAAGGCATATGGTTAATGATTGATTGATTGATTGATTGATGTCCCGACCGAGGGGTGTGCCCCGCGGGTAGGAGATTAGATTTTTCGGAATCAAGGACCCTCGACACGTGGATTCTAACTATAAAACGTTCTAGAGGGAGTATTTTTTTCTACAAACAGGAATAAGATTTATCCACATTTTATTACTTATACATCGGAATTTTACCCTATAAGGTTTTTTCTGTCAAAAAAGTTGCTATCTTCCGCACGATTACAGCACTTTTTCGCCTTACTACTTACCTAAAGAGAAAGTAAACGAGACAGATATTATTTTAATACAGGTCGCTCTGTTGTGTGTAGTTGAAAATCTGAGACTGTAGCCTTAGACCGGATGATTATAATAGGTTTGAGTGCTAACGGTAGCTGATTTTTGACAACACCCTAGCTCATTGCTTGCCAACTCAATGTTTTGTGACGTCACCAAAATCTGCTCTCCTGCTCCGAGCATGGAGCAAGGGAACTGCCGGACGCGACGGCGGGCGTACAGTGTTCCAATGATGGTACGGAAGTGGAGGGGATATGCTCGCTCGATAATTACGTTTCTAAATCGTAACTAATATTAAAATGTTTTTGATTCAATAAAAATATGAAAAAAAGAACACAGATTATTACATAACTTAAAGCAATATACGACTCTGTTTATCGTAACCAGTACCTGTAATTCCACTTTCATTCTTCAAATACATAATTAAATAACAGAGGACAGTTTAAACATTCTAGTTCGCATACAATAATATTTTACACAATGTCATATAATATAACAAGTTTAATTCGTCCCGAACCAATAATTAATATTAACAAACAGATAGAAATAGATACCCAGGCGGGGTCACGTGGGTGAATTTAGATTGCAGGATAGATTATTTCATGTACAGTTCTATTTGAAAATGTTAATTGATTTTCATTACCTTTTCCACAATCTTTTATCTTCAAAATCCTTACTCATCTCATAATTACAGGCTATCTGTCAATTCTCAGAAATTATTTTAATCTCGCGGGTTTCTCTGGGTTGTAGATTTGCGTAATGCCTCTGTAGGTTGAATTTTTGAAGATAATACAGTTCTTTCGAACACACTAAATACTTCGCCATTCTTATGGTGTCTAAAAAAATTTCTTCCCAAATTGAAAGAAAATGAACGGGCGTAAATGGGATCTTTATGTTGCCTAAAACACAGGGAAATACAGGCCTTTCTCATAGAGGAATGCTGCCCTGACGTCACTCCACCAGCTGCCAAACACTGCATTCTTGGCTATCCGGGATGAGCCGCGTCTCAGTCAATGTTACTGACGTTTCGGCCATCTTGCTGTAGCCTTCTTCAGAGCTAAACTTCTCGCTGCCAAACACTGGCCTAGCTGAATCGGACGAAGCAACTCTAGCTGAATCGGACGAAGCAACTGCATGGTTGAGAATTTTGAGATTGACTGCTCTGATCGGACTTCCCAACTAGTCCCTACGACTCCAGGAAAATGTTGGAGCATTAACGAGTCATGGATCGCTCCCTTTCACATTAGATCCAATCCCCATAATCTAGAAAAGTTCTCGCAAACGCGTGACGTAAATCGTTAATACGATATGCGGAGATATCGGTCCAGAGCTCGAAATGAACTGTAACACCTCAGCGAAAACTGATCGTGTTTCTAACTTTCTTAATATTCTAATATTATTATCAGAAATTCATAGTAAGTTGTCGCTGCAATCGAATAGTACTGGCCGAGAATCCTAGAGGATGTCTGGAGAAGAATTCTTGAGGATGGTTACTCTGATCGATAGTTTCCCGAAATTTATCGGATTAATACCAGGCGAATGCTAAAGCAGTACTCTAACAAACGCGCCAAGGACTTTCCTCTCTTCTTTATCCTATCTTCATCCTTTACTTACACTTAGGTGCCCTAAACTTCCACAGATATTGGGAGATCAGTCGGTAGCTTAGTACTTGTCCCGGCTGAGGCGGTGCCCTGCTGGTGGCAGATTCCAGTATGGTGAAAACTAGCCGTGTAGGTCGACGCCGGATTTAGCGGACAAGAGGGGAGCGAGAACACTGCAACTTTCTGTGATAAAACATGCATTACATTTACGGAGCTAATGACCACAGCAATAGGTGCGTCAGAAAACACAAATTAATCAATCGAATAGGTGACTTATTGGAAGTGTCGGCACTCAGGAAAGAACAGTTTAATATGTACCATCTATTCTTAAACAAAGGCCATTCTAAATATGAAATTCCACGTACGCCACAGCTGTTTCGACGTGGCCCTTGCTGCCCACGCGCTCCCGTGACACAAAAATGGACGAGCGAATTGCCCTGATTTTACGGCGCAGCGGTTGCTGTGCGACAGAGATGCCCGACCATGACGAGCTGAGTCGCGCGCCGCGCCATGCCGCGAGTCTAATGGCTGCACTAGGCCCTAGTGAATCACGCATAACTGACAATTGGGCGCATCATACGAAAGGTCACAGAGAAAATAGGGCAAGCGTCTCAGAAGCCAAAAGGAAGATTCCGATGAGACGAAATGAGCACTTCAGAGTGTGCTCTCTGGTTATTTGTGGTTAATGTAATAGAGAACGTTTTAATAGTGTGACAAGTCGAATGCTTTAATGCCTGTGACCGGGAACGCCGGGATTTGAGTCTCGACGATGGCAGGATTGCCGTGTCTAGGTCGAAATCAGCCGCTGTGTGGAGAATTCTAGTGGCCAGCTGGAATGATCGATAATTATCGATGGTTCCTCCGATCAATGCCACTCGAATGCCAAAGCAGTACCCTAAAAAATTCCTGCTCGTCCTATCCTCTCCCCTTACACTAACATGCACTACACTACCACACATATCGGGATATCAGTCGGGGAATATGCCATTAAACGACGGTAGGTCGGCACCGGATCTCACCATTCAGCGAGATATCTCCGCCACCTCCCAAAGAAAAACATAAAATATGTTATGAAATAAAATATGGCTATGGGAATTAAACTAATATTTTTCTTCTAGAAAGGCAGCCATTCTGTACTTATTTGGCCACTTCGCATTTACACAATCACGTGACCCATAGGACGCTAACAGCATTAAAAATAGAAATTGGATACTCGCTCCTCAAAACGACAGACCACAGAACTCATTGTGAAAACACTTATAATTTATATAAAATAAATGAAGGGTATTGCTTTCTCATTCAAGTAATATTACTTCCATTGCAACAATATATTATGCGAGTTGGAACTTTTTTTTTTTAAACAAGTTATTTCTCCAGACCTGGAGCAAACTACAATACGCACGAACAAATTCGTATTTAATCAGAGTATCGTGCCAGAACCACTTGGCAAACAACGCGCAATTTGCATATCTCCCCCTCCCTGCTCTCTTCAGAGGGAAACTCGGACGAGCGCGTGCCGAAATTGAGATGGTCCAACTTGGGTCGAGTGGGCCCCGGACGCAGGCGGCGGACACGCACGCGATCGTCGCCGCCGCGAATTAAGGCTGCACAGACGTCGCGTGACAAGAGCAGCCACCCTCAACTGGCCCCCGACGCGCAGAATGCACGCGGCCCGCTGCGCTGGTCCGAAGGGGTCCACAAGCGTCCATAGACTAAATTAAATAAATAAATAAAGTAAAATACCTAAGAGCTTACATGAGTGACCAATCCAGGTAATTCATTTAGGATAATATGGAGGAGCCTACCATTGGCCGCAATATCGTACCTAACTTTTGGATTCAGGCTTCCTATGCAGCCTATCTGCGGCGGGAGTGTATGGGAACTTTCGAGCAGGTGTCCCGAGGGCGACTCACTTGGGTGTAATTTTCACTTTCTCGTTCTCAGGTTACTACACCTAAACTGCCCAGTCGGTGGTCACGAGTACTTCAAAATTGCTTCAGGGATTTCATTTTCTCCGGAACCTGCAGTTAAGATGCGAGTGTCCCTCGCCTCGTCCGAAGGTTGCTCAGAAAATGTCACTAATTATGAAAATCACGGATGTTTGTGTTTTTTTCACATTGGTGATCTTCGGCGTTGAAAATAAGGAACATCTCTTCAAGTATTTTTTTTTATCAGATATCGAGTAACCCTACTGAGTGACTCAAAGACTTATTGCGAATACAACCGAGTCTCAGAGTTATGTGGTTCAGTGTTGAAAGGTATTCCACTTAACTTTTGAGATATTGGCCCTTACCTAAAACGTTCTCTATGAAATGTAAGATGATACATCGTTATTTTAGAGTTAAGTAAGGTGCAGCTACTACAATTAAATAATCGAAGTATTAGAACTGCAAAGAAACATTGCATTTCTTAAAGCAAACCTATAAAAGTTAACGTTGGGAGAAGGTGAGAAATGCTTTACGTCTTTTGTCATAATCTGCTACTTAGACATTCAGATATTGCTCCCCGCAAAAATATACAGAGCGGAGAACGAAACCTTGAAAACTGTGAATGAAAAACAAACCATAACAAGTTTATATTTTATTTCGTTTACATGCTACATTTGGAAAACATGTATGTTGAAGTGGTTTACCCACAATCACAGAAAATATTTCGTTGGCTGTCTGTGCCATTCCAGAGCACTGTGGGTCTTAGGTCTGTCCTTGCGGCCCAAAGGAATTTGCAAGGACATCGCAACGGTCCAATGGAGGGGAAGAGGGCTTAGGGAGACCCCCCTCACATCTGCGAAGGAGCACACTGCTCTCCCCCCCCTTCCCGTGCAGCTCAACCGGGGATAAAGATGTGTTTCAGTTGCGGAACGTTGGATTAGTGATTAGTACGAAGAGATATTTATGCCCTTAAATCTTAAAATATGCAAACATACATTTATCACCTAAAAATTCTAAAATATGCAATTAACATTAACAGAATTTCATTTCCTTTATAAACCTTTCATGATAAAATTCAGGAGAAGCATGCATGGAATGAAAAGCAATATAATAAACATAAAATAATCTACCCTACTTCGCGAGAGAAATAATTGAAGTAAATATTCACCTTAATGAAAAATTAAAACCGTATCTTAATCACCTTATTTTAATAATTTATTATTATTATTATTATTATTATTATTATTATTATTATTATTATTATTATTATTATATTCTCTCTCTACGTTGAGTGCGCCACTGAACCGGTGTCACCCTCTCCCCTACTTATGCTTATGCTAAATAATTAAAACAAATATTAACTTCCTCCTCGAATTGATAAATACGAATAACCAGCACACTAAGCGGAAGTCTGTACCGTGTTAAGAAATTTGTTTAGAGTCGTGAAGGCGAAAGCCCCTCCTTTACAGGAAACGGGAGCTTTATTATCAATCATAAGATAAACACCTAATTGCTCCCTTCTTTCACAAATTAAGAAAACACCAATTATTGTTTTTAACAAGTATTGTCAGCGCCAAACGTAATTGCCGCCTCTCCTAACCAGTATTAACAACCCCTATACAAATATCCTTAAGACAGAAATTAAAATATTTTCATCACACTCAGACTTAATATATGTACAAAATTAATCACGCTAAAGCACAATCGGTCTCCAATGGCTAAGGTACATTAGCTTTTTAATTGTTTTTTTCTCGATAAATAATAGGGTGCCTGCTTCATTTGGTTCACGGATCCGGTTCACTAGAGGAAAATCGACTCACTGAACTGAATCCTTGTTTACTATTCGCGTGATGTAATGTTGACCATGTTATTGCAAGAATTATAATTTCTATTTAACACTCACATGCTACTTAAACTATCATTACTACTCAAAACCAATATTTTATTACTAAAAATGACAATTAATCTACTTAATACATTTTTATACGCTCTATAATGCGCAATAATATAATAAAAAACTCACATATTTGTAGAATTTATAACTTATAATTTAATTCATATTTTTAAAAATTTCAAAACAAATTAACATTTTTTTAATAATTTTCTTCATATATCTGAAAAAAGACACATTCATATTAAAAAAAGAAGCTTGGGAAAATTGTAATAATAAATACATAAAAGTAGCTCACCTGTTAACAAAAAATAACAAACGGAAACCAAAAGAGAAGAATAAAAAAACAAAGAAACTAATTTTTGAAGATTATCATTTCTGAAAACAAAATATAATTTTTAATTTTTAATATATAAATCAACATGATGATTTTAAACAAAAAACAAAATTTTAAACAACAAAATGAAATTAAAAAATTAAAACAACTCACCTCAAAACACAAAGAACAGAACAAAGAAGAATAATTAAAATTTTAAAAAAATAGAAACTATTTTTTTAAGATATTCATTTCTGAAAACAAAATATAATTTTTAAATTTAACTATAAATAGCAATATAAAGCCAAAAAATAATAAAAATACTAACCTCATGTTTATCATTATAAATTATATTAATGTATTTACACAAATTGTTAAATGTTTCATTTTTAAATTCCCTTCTCCAAACATATTCCCATAAATAATAGATTAATTAATTCTCAACTTTGTGACGTGGAATTACGCGTTTCATTGCACTCCAAGTCCCTTCACTGATTTGGTGTGTGCACCTGATTCAGGATCTTTGAATGTAAAAGAATGATTAACTCCTCTATGGGTAAAACCTTCATCCTTTAGACAATCATAAGCCTTCCAGCATTCCGAGATCACAATAGATTTCGGCTCGATGTAATTCTTAATGTCTAAGAGTACCTCCTTGCTACGATATTCAACGACCTTGATAAAACAGCTAGAGGAACCTAGAGGCACCCCTTTCAATACCACCACACACCAATTTGCCTTCCACTATTTTTCCTCTATTATACTTCATTTTGTCAAACTTGCTCTCTTCAATTTCAACTTCAACACCCTCTCTACCTAGTGGTTCACTTTCATCTTCAAACACTTCAAAACATACCTCTCAACAAAAGCTCATCCAATCAGTAACACCCGCATCCAAACAAATGTGATCTACTCTTGCTTCTCAAATTAAGAATCCTTTCTCATAGACATTTTCACGCAATGAGCATTCTCACCTCTGACTACAAATCCATAAAATCATAACCATCTGTTCTATCCTTTCTCTCAATAAATTTCATTTCTTTCTTGCGTACATTATATTCACGTCGAGACGCAAACAAACCCACTTTCTGACACCGCTGTATCACATACAAACTTCCCTTTCGGTGCAAATCATAAATAAATTCTGTATTTATACCTTCCATCTCAGTCGATACACAAAACTATTAAAAGGAAACATGAAATGCCAAAAAACACGCAAATCCATGCCACCAAGGTCTTAACAATTTTACAATTCATAAAATTATGAAGTAAATAATTTTGTCTTCATAGTAAGAACTAAATGTGTTATTAGGAGGCTGTTTAATTAGTACGTCAAGACTATATTAGTAATCCATTTCAACAGCAAGCTAAAGCCTCAATTTTGTGATTTGAAAGAGTGTTATGAAGT